CTTTCTGGGTAAAATGGCACCAAATTTCACCATCCTCATCAAGAATAACATCCACTACCCCAAGTTCAAGTTCTCCAAGTGAGTCTGAGAGGCAGAGTAATATCAAATACAGTGCCTGGGCAGTGTGGAAGCTTGTGTTGGGAACCAGGTGTTTAGAGTACAGGTCTGTCTTCCGCCATTCCTTAGGGGCAACATCGCAAGCCAGAAGATTGACTACCTGAAGCACTGCACATTTGATCAGGACTCTGACCCATACTGTCCCATCTTCAAGCTAGGCTTCATTGTAGAGCAGGCAGGGGAGAACTTCACAGAACTGGCACACAAGGTGAGGGAGGGTGTGGGGACAGTGTGGGGCCGGCATCTGCTACCCACGAGGGTTTTGCTGCAGTTAGTAGCACCTTCTCTGTCTTGGCCAGCCTTGGCTCTGTTAGGCAGAAGGGAGAAATGTGATCATGGTCTGTGACTGCACCTGCTCAATTATTGACACCTGGTCCCACGGCTGGTGCTCGTACCTCATTATACCAGACACTCACTTGTTCCCTGAACCTTTGGCTCTGAGCTGAACTGTCTCCCTTTGAGGGTTTTCTGCTCTATGCCCCTCAATGCTCCTTGGCTCATTTTTCTGCAGGGTGGTGTCATTGGAGTCATCATCAACTGGGACTGTGACCTGGACTTGCCTGAATCAGAGTGCAACCCCAAATACTCTTTCCGGAGGCTTGACCCCAAGTATGACCCTGCTTCCTCAGGCTACAACTTCAGGTACCTTGTTCTCTGAATGTTTGGGTCCATGACATAGACAGTGGTGTCTGCTTTGACTATAGTTCCGTCTGAAGTGGTCCTAAAGAGAGAAAGACGAGTGTGCACATTCAGTCTGACTGCTTGGACACTGCTCTTGGTTTACCCAACCCTAGGTTTGCCAAGTATTACAAGATAAACGGCACCACCACCAGTCGAACTCTCATCAAAGCCTATGGGATCCGGATCGATGTTATCGTGCATGGGCAGGTACGCAGAGCTGAAAAGTTCCACCTAAGCCTGAGCTGGCCTAGCTCCATGTCCCTTACATCACCCCACTGTGGTGATATATTGTGTATCCTAATAAAATTTGCCCGAAGATCAGAGAGACAAAGGAACCTCTTCTAGGACTCCTCAGCCTGAAAAAGCCTTGTTGCTTCACGCCTTATATACCTACCTTTCTCCACCCAGCCATCACTTCCTGGGATTAAAGGCATGTGTGCTTCCCAAGCAAAGGCATGAGATCTCAAGTGCTGGGATTAAAGGTGTGTGCCACCACTTCCTGGCTGTTTCTCTCCTAGACTGAGTCAATCTCATGTAGTCCAGGGTAGCTTTGAACTCACAGAGATCCAGATGGATCTCTGCCTCCCAAGTGCTAGGATTAAAGGTGTGTGCCACCACTGCCTGGGCTCTATGTTTGATCTAGTGGCTGGCTCTGTCCTCTGATCTTCAGGCAGATTTTATTAGAGTACACAAAATATATCACCACACTTCTGCCACAACAGCCTATCATGAAGGTCTAACTAAATGCAAGCTTGTTTTTTTACAGGCAGGGAAATTCAGTCTCATTCCTACCATCATCAATCTGGCCACTGCTCTGACCTCCATCGGGGTGGTAAGAGATGCACGTGGGAGCCTGGGTGGGTTAGGGAGTGTCTGATATGCCCTTACCCAGTGGTGTCTGCTGACTGCAGGGCTCCTTTCTGTGTGACTGGATTTTGCTAACATTCATGAACAAAAACAAGCTCTATAGCCATAAGAAGTTTGACAAGGTGCGTACTCCAAGGCATACCTCAACTAGCTGGCCTGTGACCCTTGCCCTTGTCTTGGGCCAGGTCCCTCCCCCACCTAGTCACTACTCCCAGGATCAGCCACCTACCCCTCCATCAGGTGGAGGGCTAACTCTGGGAGAAGGGGCAGAGCTACCACTGGCTGTCCAGCCTCCTCGGCCTTGTTCCATCTCTGCTCTGACTGAGCAGGTGGTGGACACTCTTGACCAGCATGTGGGACAAAGGCTTCCTGTCCCTGAGCCCTCCCAACAGGACCCCACATCCACGGACCCCAAAGGTTTGGCTCAACTCTGATCTCATCCTCACTAAGCCGCAGACCTGGATCTGGAGGGCAGGGACGGCCTCAGCTGCTTTGGCAGCCCTAGGCAGGATCTACTCTCTGCAGTAGCCAAGCATGTCTATGTGACTGAGAAACAAGAGACACCTGTGCAAGAGGACAGCGCCTTGCTCTGGCCCAGGCTTACATTCTTCCTCTCCCTAAGGCTTAGGGGAGAACTGGGTGTTTGCCATCTCCTTTACCAACCAAACTCCTCATAGGACCCCCTTTTCCTTCCTTGCCCACCTGTCATACTTTTGTACAGCCTTCTGGGACCCCAAATCAGAGCTAAGACTTCTGTTGTATAATTCTAAGCCCTCCGGTTAAGAGCACCTGCTGTTCTTCCAGAGGTCCTGAGTTCAATTCCCAGCAACCACATGGTGGCTCACAGCCATCTGTAATGAGATCTGGCGCCCTCTTCTGGCCTGAAGGGATATATGCAGGCAGAACACTGTATACATAATAAATAAATAAATTAAAAAAAAAAAGGTCATAGTATGCTGAGACCAATAAACCAGTGATGAGAAGCTTTCTGGCCTCAATTCTTTGAGAGTAGCTATGGACTCAGGAATATAAGGCAGGAGAGTCAGTTCCCTTCCCAGGGATCCTGCACTCTTGAGTTTACCTGCATTCTGGTTTAGATTACAGCCACACCTGCCAAGGGGACCAAGGCTATATTCAGAATCCCTGTGACGGGGTGAGGACAGTGAGTGGGTAGAGGACAAAGCCAGCACTAACATCAGGGCTGGGGTAATCTAGTTACTGCATCTTTGCTGTTTGTGGTGTGACTGGCTGGGCAAAACCTGTTGGGAGCCTGGATCTTGGTTCCCTGGTCTATGCTGAATGCCACCAGAAGGTATCCTAGCTTAGACCAGCACACTAAGTGGTCTAGTGGCTAGGAAGGAGACCCTTCAGTTTCTGCCCACATTACCTGAAGATTGCATGCTTGTGTGTGCCTCTAGTTGTCACACCAAGTGTTGATAGGATGCTTGGAAGGACACTAGCTCTCAATACCCCCAGAGCCTTCCTTGGTCCACAGGCCACCAAATATGTTTAACTTCCTCCATGTTTAGTTATAAGATGTCCAGTTATAGTTTTAGACAAACTGCCCTTTCCAGTTGGGTCTCTAGCTACAGCTTAACAACCAGGGCTAGAGATGCAGTTTTCTATTTCAGAATCCCTAAACTGACCTCCGAGTGAACCCAGGCTGAGTGGTATCTATGATTGCTGTGACCTACCTTGTGTTGCTATAGGATGGCTCTGCTGGGAAACAAGCCAATGCCTTTTAGGGCCAGAGATCCAGGAAGCATAGTTAACCATCTCCCTCCTCCCCCATCTTCCTAATTTGATTTGATTTCCATTCAGAAGGTCCCAGCACTGCCAACTCAGTCCACATTCCAAACAGGGAAGATCAAGTACATATCAGGTTTCTCCCTACAGACAGCCTGAGCTCATCAAGGTTTAGACTAGTTCCTGATGGACAGATGATAGATATTAAACTTTCCTTTCAGAGACTGAGGCTCCCAGTGCAAATACAAAATAGTAAGCTAAGAAGAGGAAATTGTAGGGGGCTGGAGAGGTGACTAAGCAGTTAGGATCACTCACTGCTCTTTCAGGGGATGGAATTTGGTTTCCAGCACCTACATGGTAGCTCATTACCGTCCATAACTTCAGTTCCAGGGGAACCAATGCTTTCTTCTGAATGTATGTGCATACACATACATTCAGGCAAAATATTCATACACCTAAGTTCGGTAGGGTTTCCCATCTCCCTGTAGCTATTATTTTGGGTTTCTGAGTTTGATGCTTTGGCCACTGCCCTGGTAAACTGGCTGGGGCCAGAAAGCAGCAGTAGACAAGGACTACATTTAGCTCAGTGAGATGCATGAGTTCTCTTATTTCCTGAGATTAATGAAAGGCTCTGCTCATCTAGCAGATGGGTCAATATCAGTAGAGGTGAGAACAGCTACTTATGCCACCACCACTTTGCAGTGCTGAGGGCATCTTTTCCTTTTCTTTTTTCTTTTTCTTTCTTTCTTTTTTTTTTTTTTTTTGAGACAGTTTCTCTGTGTAGCTTTGGGGCCTGTCCTGGATCTCACTTTGTAGACCAGGCTTGAACTCAGAGATCGGCCTGGCTCTGCCTCCCAAGTGCTGGGATTAAAGGTGTGTGCCACCACCGCCTGGCTGGGCATCATATTCTTAAAAAGTCTAGAGATTAAACCCTTTAAGAGGGTGCCAGCTTCAGTGTTCCAGGTCTCTGATGTCCTGAGGAACAAGTGGTGACTGAGTACAAGCCCTCAACAAATCTCTCTGAAACCTCACATAACTGCTTTCCCTCCTTTCCTCCTTCCCTCAACAGTTCAGACTAAAATCTTGCATGTGAGAAGGCATTTCTTTAAAAAAATCTGTCTTATACAGGGTGTTCAAGTTTATGATAAATGTCACTTAAAAATCCTTTGCTTGTGGGCCTCAGGCTTATAAGGTCCTTGCTATAGTTCTGGTGGACAAAGAGTGGGTTTTCCACATAGACTAGGTAGGTCAGCGATGCTCTACCTTTCAGGCCCATCTCAGCCCATCTTGGGACAGAGCCCCAGGTCTCACTCAAGACACTGGGTGACAACCCTCCTCAGACTTTGCTCTGAAGCAAAAATGTTGGGTCTCCACATGTTTAGGACCTGGATTTCCCAGAAAGCAGCTCAAATTCTACTTCCATGAAGTTGAGAGAAAGGACCTTTTGTCTGAAAATAAGCAAGACTCTGTTATGGTCAGGGCTCTGTACCAGTTACTGCATCCTCTCTGCCCACACCCCCTCACCTCATCTCAGAACGTATTTCAGGCTTAGAATAGAAGGCAAAAGAAAGCTGTTATGGAAGCGCAAAGAAGTTTCAAACATGTTTATTTAGCAGGCAGCTGAGGACAGGCATTCCCTGCTCCTGCTTGTTTATGACACCCTGAAGCTCCCTGAAAGTATTCTCTCTGGTATTCCTGGACTGTAGTTATGAGTTTGGAAAAGTCAGGTGGTCAGTGGTTCAGCCATCTGGAGCAGGCATTAAAGTACCTTGTCTTATGCCTAGGCTTGCTAACAGTTTGATAAAGGGCTTGTTTGTAGCAGCCATTCTATGGTCTCCTGGAGGTATGACATACTGTAGTGCTTGGCAATATTCTGGAAGATTCTAATCTGTTCCATGAAGACCTGTAGGAGCAAAGAGACACAATGACTCTGGGTTCTACTCAGATAGGAGGGGCAAATGATCCAGTGTGTCTGTGAGAACGGCCCACCTCAATGTGGATGGTGAGAACAAAGTCCCCGGCACAACTGCAGTACACAGGCATATGGGTCTCTTTCATACCACGGCACTTCAGGCATACCTAAAACAAGGAAGCAGCACTACTGATCTTGGCTCAAACCGCTATCACACTGGATCCTATCTGTAGCCTTTCAGCCTTGTTGAGGAGGGAACCTTCATGAACCCACTGGTAAGTTTATTTCCCTATTGAAGTCTCATCAGGACTCAGTGCCTTGATGAAATTCAAGATTTATTCAAATCTTGCCAGCTCCTTCCTCCTTGCTGTGGGTATCCCCAACCTAGATTACCAAGGCCTGGGGGTGTCCTATGTCCCAACTGGCTCTGTCCCAACAGCTGCCCAGGGATATAACCATGGACTTTGCTCAGGTGCTCATAAAGTGCTGCCAAAGCTTTCTCTGCTCTGCTCTTGCACCCTACCGCTGACCCGTTTCCTGTCTATTGTCTACCTCCCTCCACTGGATGGATGAAAGTGCCCACAGAAGGAACCAACAGATGTGGACAGAATTAATGAGCTGGGTGCATGGATGAAGACTGACTCCTGGGGCTGTCCCTTGGAGGCAAGACTCAGGATCCAAGCATGCTCTTGGCTTCCCTAAAATGCTGATAGTGTCTGGAAACTCCTGGGTGGACTGGGGAGCTCACCAGGTCCTGTAGTGTGAAGGCCATCAGTTTCCTCTGCAGGACTTCCACCAAGGCTGACTCAATGGCAGCTGAGTCGTAGGGGGCCTGACAATTGGAGCAGAGCCACTGAGGGAGGATGGCCCCATCCTAGGAGAGTGGGGAAGAAGGCTGAGAAGTCAGTGTGAGTGGTAGCCATGGTCCACCTGGGCAATAGCACACTGGGCTGGTGTAAAGGGAAGATGTCACAGAGAGGATTGCTGGGGCAAAGGTAACCATCACTGCTCTTGGCTGCCTGAACCTTTCATTTGTGCTGATCAGACCTTTACAAAACAATTTTCTAACATGTTACAGTGGAATGGCTTGGGGGTGGCCTATTTTTAATCCACAAGGGGCAGTAGGTTAGATACTACAGGTTGGGCTACATGTCCCAACCACTTTGGACATTTAGAGGTTCTGATCACCAGCTGAGCTTACCTGAGAGAAGGAGGAATCTTTGCACAGGTCCAGGTCTCGGCAGAAATTACAGCTGTGGCAAATCACCTCAGGGAGCACGTAGGAGTGGCAGGGGTCTCTGAACTGGGCCTCTTCAGAGAATTCACCAACGTCTACCAGGCGAAGTAGGTCTCGGTTCAGCTTATTCACCTGATTTGTGATGTTTGTATCCAGGGACAATACCTATGGTGACCACAGCCCATCATGAAGTAGCTCCTAGGCCTTTCTGCCACTTTGGCTGGACCAAGTACCTCTTTTAAGCCCATTTCTCAGCACCACCTTAGCCCTTCCTATTCCCATCTGGAACACTCAGGATGAACTGATTCTCTACAGTAGCAACTCTCTGTTAGTGAGTGGAGACTTTACTGATGAACATATTAAACATTTCAGGCAAGAAACAGTGATTCTACACAATACCTTCCAGAAACCAAAGAGGGAGGACACCTAACTTGTCTTAGGAGGTCAGCATCACCCCAATACTGACCCAATACAAAGACATAGGCCATTAGCCACCATGAGAAAGGACACAAAACCCTCTATGTGTGCCAGATGAACCCATCAATATTGAAAAAATTCAGAATCCAAAAATAAAGCACAGATAAGGCCAATTAAGTTTTTTGTTATTATTTTTCTTAAAGACAAAGAGTCTTACTCTATAGCGCTTTGAAGATACAGGCTGTCTTTAAACTATGATCTTCCTGCATACCTCAGCCTTCTCTAGTGCTGGGACTGCAGAAGTGAGCCATCATGCCCAGTCCAATTAAACTTCCAAAAAGGTGTAAACATTCCTCAATGGAAAAAGGCTCTGGAACTGGATACCCTTATGTTCAGACAGGAAACTTGTGCAGACTGCAAAGATGAACTACAAATGGACAGATCCCAAAGTGCAGTTCATCCCAGCTTGTTTTCTGGGAAAGGTGGGTCAGTGACTGTCCAAAGTGTATTTGTGGAGAAGAAACATTCCTAGCTCACTATGTTAAACCCTAAGGTGTAGTCATTTGATATTCAGTGTTCAGCCTCAGAGTGAAGCGCTGGGACGCTCAGATGGCACAACGAACAATAAGTGCTTTGAGCAATGACCCACATGGTCACTGGTAATATCATCTCACCATGCTGGCCTGCCTTTCCCAGAAAACAAGCTCTGTCACCTCATTTGGTCTCAGAGGTCTGCTCTGGCTCATCAGGCCCACTGGTGGCAGGTGATCCATGAACTCCTTCCACTGTAACTTTCTCAGCATACCATCTCTCCTACCCCAGAGCCTCTGGCCTGGTTCCAGGTCCCTCCGAGTGCCTCATGGCAGAACATCTCTGAAGTGACCAGTCCCTTATGGTTCACTGTCAGGCTGAGAGCTATTAGAGGGGCTTCCTTATAATGCCTCAGCCCAAATGCCTCAACAATGGTTGCATGTGATAGGGACCCAGCAAATCCTGATGAAATGACTAAAGGATTTGAACCTGCCCTCACCTTGCACACATATTTGATGAACTCCAGAGCAGGATTATTGAGCAGCAAGTGTGAACCAGGGAGGACAGGGAACATCTCTGAGGGCTCAGTGGAGTTCCGAGAGCCTGTGACTTTCTTCTGAATTTTCTGAGTGATGGTGAAGAAGCTCTGAGTGAGCTCATTTGCCACATAATTTTGAGAGAAGGTGACCATTCCTGGGAAAGAGAGAGTGCTAAGGGGCAGATTCAGCTGGCAGTGGATATCTTACCCATTTGCCTGTACCATCTGAGGCACACAGAAATCAAGCCATAGCACGTAGCAGCATCCTTCTGTGACCAGGGAATGCTCACCAGGAAGGGCTCCAGCTGCCCCGTTAGCCTCTTGGGAGAACTGGCTAGCCCCCTTCCTCTTCACAGGGGTACTGCCTGGGACAGTGTGTCTCAATTCATTCTTCATGCTATGGTACACAGCCACGATGTATGCTGCAGAGAGAGGCAGATATAGGGCACAGGACCTCAGAGTCAGTTTTGTGTTGAAAAATACCCTAGAATTTGAAGAAGCCCTGTGGTTGGCCATATGGTCAGACACACTCATCTGAAATGTCATTGCTAGAACTGGATATAAGAAAGGAACTTATAGTTAGGTAGTGCCCAGCACTCGGGAGACAGACTCTGAGTTTGAGGCCAGCCTGGTCTATAGAGCAAGTTCCAAAACAGTAAGGGCTATACAGAAAAAGCTTGGCTTAAAAAAACAAGAACAAAACCAAACCAAAACAAACAAAGAAGTTGCTGATGTCTGAATTCATCCCTAGAAAAGTGAATAAATAGAACAACAAGGATAGTATGTGAAAATAGATCCTTAACAGCAAATGCTGACAGTATCCTAAAATCTGAACCCACATACCTGGAATATTTCTTCCTTTCTTTTTTGGGTTTTTTGAGACAGGGTTTCTCTGTGTAGCTCTGGCTTTCCTGGAACTTGCTCTGTAGACCAGACTGGCCTTGAACTCGAGGTCCTACCTCTGCCTCCTGAGTACTGACATTAAAGGCATTATGCCACCACCACCTGGCTAACCTAGAATATTTCTTGAGACTACCTGTCTCGGTGAAGGCTCAAAAGAAGTAGACAAAGACATAAGTAATCACAAATGAAACCAACTGTTGGTACAGACCTGTGGGGTGTGTGAGAAGTCCTGTCTATCTGCCAACAGTCTAATGACCATGCTCATCACTAGTTTTTCTGTTTTAATGAGTGGCATTGAATTACAAAAACAGTCCAATTCTTATGCTTACTGAACATGATAACCAGGTCTACAAATACTTTCAAGGTATAAGAGTTTTCTAGTTAGTGAAGCCCCAGAGGTCAGCCTCATTACTGTGTTAATATACATGTTCCCAAGGATATTAGCCATGAACCTACTAGAAATAAAACTGGGAAACACCTTTGGGACACTCTGGGGCAGCTGCTTACGAGGCCTAGAGAGAAGACAGAGAGCTCTTTCATCATCTGCCTTCAGTTCCCCATGCTGGAACAGGTAAAGAAAGCAGCAGCTCCACCAAGCTGAAATTTCCGACAATTTTCCTCTCCACACCAAGAAGCCAGAACCATTTTCAATTACTCAGCTGGTTGTCCAGCTTCAGCTTGACTCACCTGAAACAATCATGAGGAAGTAGCTCTGGCAAGAGGCTGCCTGTGGCAAAAACTGCAGAATGTTCCAGTTGTTCTCCAGTAGGTCCTCAACCTCAGATTCCTCCATACCCTCTTCCTCCTCATCCTCTTCCTCATCTTCCTCATCCTTGGTTTCCTCCTTTTCCTGGGAGTCTTGCTGTAACAAAGAGAACCCCTATTTTCACCATGGCAACAACATATAATAACAAGACACAGCAGACAGGACTCCTCTAGCCTGGTCTCCTGGATTCTGACACTGCAAGACCAGGGCTCCATGGAGCATGTCTAGCTCACTAGGGTGACTGGGAGTTAGAATTCTCATTTACTTTTAGGGGACACTTCAAAATTATCCAACTCTCCCTCCCAACAGGGCCAACCAACCAGAACTTCCCAGTGACCAGCTTCTTCCTCTGAACTTAATAATGTCTTCTTTAGCTGGGAGTGGTACCTTGAACCTGTGGCTCTATATTCAGGATGCTAAGGCAGAGTCACTGGAGATAAGAATTTCAAGGCCAGCCTAAGCTACACAGTCAGAACCCATCTCACAAAGCAGAACCTCTTCTAGAGTTGGTGACAATTTTTCCACAGACCCAACTTGACTGGGTGCCTGTGTTCCTGCCAGGGTGAATTCACTTCTACACACAGACACTAACACTATGCCAATATCCTGATGGCCACATTTCCTTTCTTCCCTCAGTGAGGTCTACCTCCTAGTCGCAACTCTAATGAAAACTGCTCCTGTCCAGGCGTTGGATACATGTTATCTAAGGAAGCCTTGTCCTTGTCCCCCCCAGATTCCCTTACGGAGACCCCAGCTTCTACTCTTCCTGCTGGCCAGTGCCTCCCTTTTCGGCTATCTGTGAAGACCCCATGGAGAGTGAAGGTCTGTTGTTTCAGCCTACTCCCTGGGTACTCCACTCTAGCATGAGGTGATCACCTGTATTGGCATTACACAAATGCCAACCCCTTGCCCCACATGGCTCCTTGCTGCAACCTCCATTCACCCACAGGTATGGCTCACACTGTGCATCACCAAATCCACCTGCTAGCTTCTGGATCCCATCTTTTAACAACTCTGCACTGGCGTCCCTCCCCTGAACTGACTCTGCCTGCTTTTTCCCCCTGTAGTATGTTATTCTGAGAGGGGGCAAGTAGATGCCAGAATTTCCATCTCCACTAATGCTGAATCCCATCCTGTGCAAAAAGTGAGCACTGCCAGCTCTCTGTGAGCACCTGAAACTACTGCCCAGACACCCATCTGCCTGAGCTGTTCCAGCTCCCAAGGTGTCTGTTCTCTTGCCACCTCTGACTTTGTGTCTCCACGGCTCCCCCTCCTCCCTTTTTCATGAATGTTGCCAATTTCTGCCTCATGGAAAGCTCTTTGCCCATACTAGGATGTGATGGAGTTGTGTTCCCCAAAATATTGTGCACCCTAATAAACTTATCTGGGGTCAGAGACAGAACAGCCACTAGATACAAAGGTTAGAAAAAATGGTGGCACACACACCTTTAATCCTAGCATTCCAGAGGCAGAAATCCCTCTGGATCTCTGTAAATTCAAGGCCACATTGGAAATGGCCAGGCATGGTGACACACGCCTTTAATCCCAGGGAGTGATGGTAGAAAGGAAAGATATATAAGGCATGAAGACCAGAAACTAGAAGCATTTGGCTGGTTAAGCTTTTAGGTTTTAAGCAGCACAGTTCAGCTGAGAGCCATTCAGATATGAGGACACAGAGGCTTCCAGTCTGAGGAAACAAGATCAGTTGAGATGTGGGCCAAGTGAGGTTAACTGTGGCTTGTTCTGTCTCTCTGATTTTCCAGTGTTCACCCCAATACTTGGCTCCAGGTTTGTTTTTATTAATAAGAACTATTAAGATTCATGCTATACTAGGGCTAACACTATGCCTTCAACTTTTCCTATAAGCTGATGAACTGGGTGGAGTCAGCTCTTTGCCACTATTGATGAGAGGCCCCAGTACCTGTCACATAGGTGAATGTAGCCCCATACATATGTGGAACCAGACCTAGGTTTCTTACCTGTCCACAGTGAATACTAGATGGAACTTTTCCTTTGATTCCACCATAGTTGGATGGATCCATCCAGAGAAGAAATTCCCAGCATCGAGAGAAAGAGATTGTCAGGGAATGGAAGATCTCTTTAGAATGGATGCTGCAAGAAGCCAGACAGAAACCACTGAAGTGACATCACAGCTTTCCTTATTCTTCCTTTTCCTTTGTAGCCATGCACTCCTTTTTTAACTTATAAGCGAACATCAAGTGGATTCAGACAGTCCCTCAAACTTTTAGGATACTGAAGAAGTTGCCTGGGGACAGCTGTCTGAGGAATAAAGGTGACCAAGAGGGAAGCCAGGGCAGGCCCAAGCTCAGTGGAGTCTCTAACTTAGATCAGGTGCACATCACTGGCAACATCGCTTCCTGCTTTCAAGCACCTGTAAGTTTTCTTCATCCCCCCCCCCCCCCCGAGACAGGGTTTCTCTGTAGCTTTGGAGCCTGTCCTGGAACTCACTCTGTAGACCAGGCTGGCCTCAAACTCACATAGATCTGCTTGCCTATGCCTCCCAAGTGCTGGGATTCAAGTCGTGTGCCTCTACTGCCTGGCAGTTTTCTTCATTCTTACCACAACTAGCCAAGTTGGCCTCTATCACTAATCCCACCCTTGGGAGATCCTAAACAGACTTCTCTCCCTCTCTTTCTCTTTTTGAGACAGGGTTTCTCTGTGTAGCTTTGGAACCTTTCCTGGAACTCACTCTGTAGCCCAGGCTGGCCTCGAACTCATAGAGATCCGCCTGCCTTTGCCTCCTGAGTGCCAGGATTAAAGGCACGCGCCACTGCCACCTGTCTCTCTCTTTTAAAGATTTATTAATCTTGATGTGTATGAGTGTTTGCTGTTAATGTTTATTGTTCTATCAGAATTGGAGTTAATATTGGGTGGCTCACAAAGTCCTGTAACTCTAGCTCCAAAGATCTGATTGATAACCTCTTCTGCTCTGGCCAACTCCCCCCCATCCCCTCTCAAAACCAAACCAAAACCAAAACCAAAACCTGAAGACTTTATCTTATCTACATTGGAGCCTCTGGGCCCAAATAGACTTGGGGATATGATTCGTCTAAGCAGAGATCACTGCCTGAAGCCAAAGGTACAACATGGGGTCCAGCAATTGAGAGCTCCAAATGAATGACTGCCTGGAATCAGAACACTCCCATGTGCCCATGCCCCCATCTGTGAAGAGTTTTTGTGACCTTTATGCAATAGCGCTCTATAGAACTGTCTTATAAACAGCAGGTATTCCTTGACTATTTCAGACTTGAACAACATGCTTTATATCTGATTTGTCCACCACAGATAAACAGTAATGTAAGCTGCCACTTCTTCATGCTGCAGAGCTTGACCCTTGGTGTACGCTTACCCTCCAAGCATCTCTCCAAAGCCACGGCAGCTGCATCAACAAGATGTCCCCGACACTAACCTGTTGGTGATATATTCCACATAGGCAAGGGCATCCTCTATCCGGCGCTTCTTTGTACAAAGGATGATGCGATTGAAGTTGGCATAGATGACTGATGACCCCAGCCGCTTGAACTCAGCAATGAGCCTGTAGAGTAAGTTTATAATTAATGGAGGAGATGCCCTGGTAGAAAATGAAGCCAGAAAATATGAAGAGAAACCATGAAGAAGACCATGGTGATACTGAAACAAGAAGTATCCTAACTATACTTAGAATGAGCAAAAGAGCAGACTCAGGACCCAAAAGCAATAAAGAAGAGATTTCTGTCTTTTAAGATGAGGTTTAGGGGCTGGAGAGAAGGCTAAATGGTTAAGAGTTTTGGTCCTCTTCCACAGGACCTAGGTTTGATTCCCAGCACTTATACGGATGCTCACAACCATCTATAACTCCAGTTCTGGGGGACCCGTTACACTTTTTCTGGCCCCTCTGGGTACCAGACATTACACATGAAGATATACATGAAGGCAAAACACTCATACATGTTGGGGTAATCTCTTTGTACGGTGTCAAGATGTGTCTCTGCCCTTCCTCACCTTCCTAAGGCACTTTCTGATTGGTTTAATAAAGAGCTGAATGGCCAACAGCTAGGCAGGAGAGGATAGGTGGGACTTCTGGGAAGAGACAGGAACTCTGAGAAAGAATCTGAGGTGGGAGATTTGCCAGTCATATGAGGAAGTCAGACTTACGGACATACAGTACTGAGGAGAGGTAACAAGCCATGTGGCAGAACATACGTTAATATTAACTGGTTACTTTAAGTTTTAAAAACTAGTTGGGAACAAGCCTAAGCTAAGGCCAAGCTTTCATAATTAAATAAAAGTCTCCATGTCATTACTAGAGAGCTGGCGGTCCAAAGAAAGATCTGCTAAAAACATACATATTAAAAAACAAAATAAAAACAGATGAGGTCTGGCTCCACTACTAGGCCTGACCCTGAACTTTAGAACTCTGGCAATCCTCATGCCTCAGCTTCCTGAGTAGCTGTGACTACAGGTATCATCACCATGGCAGAGCAAGACCCACCTCCCCTGATTTTAGACGGGAGTTTGGTTATATTCAGCATGGCAGAAAAATAGCAGAAACAATGGTAATAGATAGCCACCATGTATGACCTTCATTCAGGTTTTTTCTTTTCTTTTTTTCCTTCCTTTTTTTTTCTTCTTCAAAAGACTGGTTGTGAGCCTGGTGGTGGTGGTGGTGGTGCACGCCTTTAATCCCAGCACTTGGGAGGCAGAGACAGGAGGATCTGTGAGTTTGAGGCCAGTGTGGTCTACAGAGAGTTCTAGGACAGCTAGGGCTACACAGAGAAACTGTCTTGAAACAAACAAACAACAACAACAACAAAAAGTTTTTTTTTAAAAGATGTTTTTATTTATCCTAAGAATTTCTTTTTTTTTTTTTCGAGACAGGGTTTCTCTGTGTAGCTTTGCGCCATTCCTGGGACTCACTTGGTAGCCCAGGCTGGCCTCGAACTCA